TAGATCCGGTGTTAAGCCTTGCGTTCCACAATGGTGGAAAACATCATTCCGAGATCTTGGATAGAAAAAGAATTGATAAATCATATTTGAACAATTCGGTCACACCATATGATAGTCCGGTTTCACCATATACGACTGGTCAATTCATTCTCCATCTGAGATCTCAGATCGATTTCCAATATCGGAGACACAAGGCTTTACAATGGAATGTGTGTCGCCGGTGGCACAGTCGAGCTTTCGTTACAAGAGCCTATTAGAGCCTATTAGAGTAGTGAATACATTGCCAATCCAACTCTCTGAGTAACTCTCATTGTATATGTATGTGTGTATGTATGTGTATCGCGATTTTTAATCGCTACCTTCTTATTTCTTCTCGCTGCGGAGACGGATCGACAAAGCGCTTAGCCCGCAATGCGGTCTTATCGTTAGGAAAGTTACATAATTCTTTTTTTTTGCATTCTTCTTAACCCAACTAGAAATGATTGGTCAATCAATGTCGATCGACTAATTATTTCTGGCTGGGAACCATATCCTAGAAAAAACTGACTGCCACTGGTTCTCAGCGAATTCCAGACTGCCCAGCAGTCAGACATACATAACAATTATCACAACTTAATATCGTAATACTAATACAATATTATGTAAATATATTAATATTTAATCATAAATATCCTTCCTCTCTCTCTCTCCCTCCTTCCCTCCTTCCTCCCCCCCCCTCTCTCTCTCTTTCTCTATTTATATATAATATTGTTAACAAGACATCGGTAGAATTTCATACGAAACGTAATATATATTACGAATTACGATCCCTTTCCTTTTCTTCCTCAACCGCCCAGCTTGGAACGTAAATAAAAATCATTGTTGTCATAAGTACGCGTAAACGCATGAATTTTTTTTCGATTCTGGTTAAGTTATGTGTACGTGTATGTGTGGTAAGGTGTTATTTATATATGTTAAAATCTATTATAATTTTACTAAAAAAATATTGATCGGTAAACACTACATACGGTGCTAGAATTATTAACATTTAAAAATGAGATCTAGTTTCATTTTCTATTAATGTAAGAACAAACATTAAGAATCACTGAGTTAATAATGGATTTTTTTATGCTGTATGTGTGTCCGTGTCTGAAAACCTTATCTATCCGTCCCCTGTAGCTTCCACGAGTGTCTTTCTTTTCACGTTGTAAGTACTTATGTTCGTACAGCGCGAACGCCGTCAGACGATATCAAGGCCGATTTTATTTTATTACGTGCACTAATCAATCAAGTCCTTTACATGGCTACGTGCTCTGCATTCCGCACCGCACCGTGTTCGATCACTTTCACATAACGTTTGTTCACTCAGAAGATATCTTCATCCGGATCACTTGACGGTGCGGCCTGTAGCGCCAACTGCATACTAGATTCCGTGTTGCGCCGTTTCATTTTGCCTTTTGTCTTCTTCAGCATCGTAGCCTAGGTAGGGACAGGATCAGGGAGCGCACAAAGGAGCAATCGATAAAAATGTCAGTCAATACTGCTGACAAAATAGAAGTATATAAGTAGAAGTAGAAATAGAAAAATTGGAAATTACAAACTTATACGTGGAAAAAAAAGGGAGAGAAGAAACGTTTTGTAAAGCTAACACTACTGTCCGATATATAATGCGTCTAATTCACACATTACAAGCTCGAGCTAGCTGCATTGGATCGAGGCATCGAGAAGGTATCACGGAAGTTGATCGGTTTTACATGCATCAACGGAGGGATTGGGAGATTTTTCGTTCGTTCTTTCTTTCTTTCTTTCTTTCTTTTTTTTTTTTATATAAGTGGAATCGTTTTAGACAGCACGTTTGTCACACCGAGATTCCTCTGTCGCGCGTGCATTCTGCTTGCGCGCGTCGAGGAATCTAGGCTGTGATGTCGCGCATCTTACGAGATATGATTAAACGATCGAGCGGTTGTAAGTTGTGGTATAGTTGAATTACTCGTCCGTGCTCTTGCCCCCCTCCCCATTAGCAGGTAGAATCGACGGTTCGGTATTGCGACGCTTGATCTTACTTTTCTTCAACATGGTAGCCTGAAGTGAACAAAGGAACAAGGAGATATTAGTCGAATGCAATTAGGGGAGGAAAGCATGCGCTGATAGGTATCAGCAATCAGGTTATGCTTTTACGGTGAATACGTAGAGTATTGTAATATGAAACAAAAGGTGCTACAAACTAGTACATAAGGATGCGCCTGTTAAAAAGTTTTACGTGCTACAAGAATATATACGCCCCATTATTCTACTTAAACTCGAACAGTAAAGGATGTTCTCGTTTATTATGTTTCAAGGACACACACATATATACATATAGTGTGTATATGTATATATATATATATATGTTATATATATCACTGTACTAATATCGATGACACAGTATCGTGTCAGTAAATGATTTTATATTACGATTCTGTCCGTTATTTTTGTGGAATTATGGGGGAATTTTGGCAGAACTCTTACGTCAAAGTATTACCTTGAGCGCTGATTTCAAGACCACGATGTCTCCAGGACTCTGAACCCACGGTTCACCATCTACTTGTACAGGTATGTCTGAGTTTAAGTGAATTTTTATGTGTCCGCCCTGTCCACCAAAATATAATGATGAATAAATTGATATATGTTGTATTAGAAAAGAAGAATATTGTATGTGTGTGTGTCTGTAGTATTAATTTTAATTTACCTGCGCTATCCTCATAGCATAACGTAAACCCGACTGTATTTGTCCAAGATGCATAACGCCTGTGACTCCAACAATTTCTAGCATGCCATCCCAATGATTTGGTGTATAAAATTGATCTTCTTTGGTATCTGGTCCCCAAGGATTAGCACCAGAACCCCAACTAGACGAGAAATAAAAGTATCACTTAAAACTATTCTTCTTTTTTTATAATAATAGATTCCATAAGAATTACCTTAAAATGTTCAAAATTATTATTCCTTCCAGTTGTGGTAACTCAACTAATTTACCGTCTACTTCTAATCGAATTTCTTTATGTAAATCTTTACATGGTTTTCGTCTAACCATTTTACGCAAACCCATTCTTACGTAGACACCTTTATTTCGTAATCTGCTTCTGAATTTATTAGGATTCTCCTCTCTCGCGTTATGAAAGTCCAGACATAAATCTGCGTCGACGCCAATGCCAAAGTAATTATTCATTACGTATATTTGCGTATTGTCTTCGCTAGTTGCACCAGCACCGGAAATATGCAAATGGCGTGTCGCTACTTGCTGAGAAGCTGTAATATTTTCGTCCATTAAAATTTTTCTATTTAAATTACAAAACTAGTTCGTAATATTGTTAAGAAACTTATCTCTTACTTGCAGCATTACAAACTACTTGAGGTTGTTCCTTTTCTTCTGGATGAAAAACTACAGTCCATCGGTCCAATATTATTTCTTCCGCATCGATAACGTCTCGCAATAAGTTTAGTGGATCTTCGTCACCCGTGTAGCCTGAACCCCAACATAGTACACGAGCAAGATCGTTTCCCGTTCCCAAAGGTACAATAGCGCAAGCGGGAGAAGAACACTGGCTATCCTGACCCACATTATCTAAACATTGTAATACCCAACCTATTGTTCCATCACCACCACAAACTAATATCTTGTAGTCTGTTATGTGTCGAAAAACGTAAAGTCTGCAACACAAAGAAAGCACTTACTTAGAACTTGCGTAAAATTATATATTGTAGATACTATTGTAGAACATATTTAAATATGATTTGTATTACTTATGGCACTATGATCTACTTACCCAGGGAGAGGTCCGCCATTATCAAGATCAAACACTTGATAAGGATTTAATAGTTTACGAAAACTAGAAATTAGCTGGAGTCCTTGACAGCCACCAGATTTTACATTTACAAACACGAGCAGCGGTTGAACGCCCTTTGGTACCATACTTGGCTCGATACTTGGTAAAATCATTACTAACAAAAGAAAAAAAGGTAAGAAAATTCCAATATATATTCTAATACTACATATTCAGAACTAAAAAACTAAATCAATAGAAAAAAAATTAAACATACATGTAATTTTATTATACTTTGAATCGCTATATTTTGATGCTATATTCAATACCTTCTCGCTATTCAAACATACAAAAAATATTTATAAAAATACCTAAAAGAAGTTTGTCTTCATATTTTACTTCTCGCAATGTATATAATGCTTTAACCGCTGTATCCAAATCTTCATATATGATAACCATCGAACCATATTCGTAATAAATTGGGCCGATTGATGAGAATCTATTTTCTAAAAATTTCAAAAAATTATATATGTAAATATATATACATATTTAGATAATAGATAATAGATATAATTAGATATATATTTTTTCCGTTGAATCACCAACCTTTTCCTAAAAAGTCTGTCAACATGTTTTCATAACTTCTTTCAGACAGATTTGGCGGTAAGTTGCCCACGAATAAAGCCAAATTAGGTCCATGGGGATCTTGCTTTAGTTGTAGATAGAATCGCATTAATTCCATTTGTCTAATAGAATCTTTTCCCAGTTTTTTAACAATATCCCAGGGTCTTTCATCCCCAGACAAAACTCTTTCCGTTACTAATAAAAATAAAATAATTTTATATTTTTCATGCAATGTAAAAAACGAAATCTAAAGAACATTTGACTGAATTATAAACCAAGTTGGACAAAAATTCGAAACGTACCACCATGGTCTAAAAGAATTTCACTGCATCTAAAGTCATCACAACAAAAATTTTGTATACCAAACTTTTCCAGCGCCTCGTTTATTAAGTCTGCGACGGTTGTAGCTTCCATAACAGGTACCATACAGAATGATTCTGATACCTGCAATTTGCCGGGATAAACCCGTACTTCTCCGCTGTCATTATCTCTAAAATTTATTAATTTTGTAATTAATTACACATTTTGTATTTAAATTCTTTACTACTAATACAGATATGCAACTTCTATCTATAGTCTTCTTTTCTTCTAATATTGAAAATAATATAGAAATGAAACATTCTAGATATTATTTTCGCCCTAGATAAATAGTATAAACTTACTTAAATCGCAAGAATACAGCCGGACGTTTGCCTTCTTTGCGATTTAAATTTAAAACAGGCGTTGGATCACATAACTCAGTTTCCTCCACGGCATACAGGTCAGTTAAGTAAAAGCTGCCTGAATTTTCCCGAAAAAAGTTCATTAGTTCAATTAATAAATGAATTGAACAAGACTCATATTTAATAAAATAGTCTACTGTGTGTGTATGTGTGTGTGTGCACTTACTAGGATCTTTCGTGATGTGAAATGCGCGCAGTGCCGATGTGAGAACCTGCTCTGTCGTAGCCTGCCTGGGTATCGAAATTACCCGAAATATTCTTCGCCTCAAGGAATTGTTGCCATCGCACACCTTAATCATTTCTGTATAAGAATATCAGATTTACGGATTAGGAAAGCGAAAATGTCGAAACTTTTAATCGGAAGTTATATTGAAATACCTTCGTCACCTCTATCTTTATCTTCTTTCTCTTTAGGAGAACGCGGATCACGGCCATGCGTTGTTCCCTGTGCCGGTTCTCCATTATCACGATTCCTCGAGTCGCTACCAAATTCTTCTGATATGCTTCGCGCTGTTAACACAAAAAAAGATCACACTTCGAATGTTATAATATTATTAATATAGAATACAAGAATACTTAAATGTATAATAGAATATTATTAACATGAACTATAATAATACCTAAATGAAAAATCTGTATACGTATAATACATCTTTTTTCCGCTGAGTACATCCAAATTGAGAAAATGTTTCATTTTTTACTCAGATAACATTAATGGTGTCTCTCTTATAGCGTTATAACATACTTTATATTATAAATAATAAAATTTAATACAATCTTAAAAATATTATCCTGCAAGAGCAACACTTTCATCATTAAATTAGCATACAATTTATTTATAATTTATTAGTATTTCATTAATTATAGAAATTATTAGTCATATACATAAATCACTAGTTTGTATATCAATATATTATATATATATATTCGAGAAAGATTTGCATAAAACAGATACTTTATAAGGGAAGTAATGAATAAATTTAGGAAAAAATTTATAAACACAAAGAGCATGACGACTCTGTTTATCATTCAAGAATATATTACATCTCTTACCATCGATTATTTACGATGGATTTGTAGAACACAGACACGATAGGAAGAATTAGTCAGTAGTATTCTTGAACTTCATTTCACTGCATAGTAGAGTGATAAGCGTCATGGAATCTCATAGCATCCAGTGGGTTGAATGACAGTGCATGCACTGAAGCGAGACATACATACATGCTAAAACGTAAACAGTAACAAAATAACATCTATAAAAAAAGGTTGGTGCACTATGATATTTATGTAAAATGCATGTCGTGTGACATTTTATTATAGATATGCAATTTAAACGAATCTGTTCTGACAAATATATATTGTTTCCTTACTTCCTGAATTAATCTCACGTAAATAGTTATTTTACTGTCAATTATTCAAATTTATTTGAGTCAAAAAAATTTATGAGAGCTAAAGAAGTTTTTTTAAATAAGAAATCACCTAGAAAATTAGGCTCAATAATTAATGTAATATACTTCCTATGAAATACTTTTAATAAAATGTACTTTCTCCTCATATAATTTAAGTATATACATAGTAAATATCATTAAAGATTTATGTATACTATATTTGGTTTATTGCGCTTATACATATGTAAAATATGTGTATACATATACATGTTAATGTGGCAGTAAAATGTTATTTGATAAGTATGATAAAAGCAAGCTAAATTTTTCATTGCTGTTATGCAAAATAAAAAAAATGTATAAATAAATATGAGTATGTTTTTTAATATAGCACTTTATCAATCCTAAACGCAAATGTTGAAAGAATGTAGAGATAATAACAATAACGATCACTACAGCGTATTTCAAGTTATTCTCAATCTTGTACAATAAGTACATCTTGGAATTGAGTACATTCACACAGATGAATGTCTGACGATGATAATATTCTAGGTACCTCGAACATAAGGAGGGGAAGCATGACAATTTCCATGGCAGCTACGTGGCAAAACTAGCGAAAGGCGCCTCAAAGCTTCGGTTAGGCGGCCTGCAGCCCCATTTTGTTCACTCTCAGCGAAATCGAATTGCTCTCCGATGTTATCTTCACATAGAAGCAAAGATAGACCGAATATTTTAACGGTTACTATTCAAATCTATTAATTTTACCTCTGTGTTTAGATATTTCGTAATTATGACTTACGTTTATTCTTTCTTTCCCTCTTTTTTCTTTGCTTAATTATATACAAAACCGTGCTTTCTTTTGAACAGTGACGATACCCAAGGTTTGTAATTATTAAAATAAAATATTATTTTTATATACAACTTTTTAAGTTTGCAAGCTTATATCATATAATTTTTTGTAAAATCCGGTTTCAATTATTATCTAATTATGAAGCTCTATAAAATAGATGCTGTATCTATTATAATATATTATGCCTATTAAAAGCACATTGAGAGTAGCAATTAATAAGAGCAACCAGCCACAAAAGCCATAGTTTACATATATATTGTGAACAAAATATGTAATTAAAAAATATAACAGACGTAGCTTTAACATTGCTTAACGTTTGATCATAAATTATAAAAATGTTTCAGTTATACAGTTTAATTTTCATATAATACGTACGTCACGATCCTAAAAACCTCCGCACAATAATAAAAAAATTTAGAAATCTTCACTACTATTGCAACTTACGATATGAGCCTCATGACGAATTCTCACATACTACATAATGATATAAATGATTGAATCATGAGTATTATGATGATTAGATAGCAGTCACACTTTCTATAATTCAAAAGTTTTCTAATTCCTGCATTTAGCATACATTTTGCTATATAGATAAGATTACTATAAAGTATCTTGAAATATTGTTCGATGTTATTAACTTAATTCACTACCTCCTTTTATTTCATTAAAAAATCAATATTTATATTTTCTCTAAAAAATTGTATTTGTAAAAATGTAGTGGCATGGGAAGCTGAGAGTGTAAGAAATTGCAAGTAGCAAATATAAATACATACATATTTATATGAAATCGAATACGTAAAAATGTCAAAGGATTACAAAAATTTCACTGCTGATAATATTTGATAAACACAGTTTTTCAATTCATGATATAAACAATGAAAGTTTGAGGCGATAATAATCCTTTAAAGTATAGATAGGGTCTTTCTCGTTTCGAAGAAAGTCAACGTTGCATGCTCTGAAAAGAAGGAACATGTATTTGTTTACAAACCGACGGTTTTATACACGCGTGAGTGAGTACTAAAATAATATCATGCAAAAAATTTATATTCTAAAAATTAGTTAATCTTTTACAAATACCTCTCTACTAATATAGGAAAATATTTTGTTTATTATACATTCTTTTTTCAAACTTTACATATTACGGTGTACAATATTTTCTACCAATCATCAGTGCATATTTGCATACGTATACATGTGCTATGCAATAGTAAAAATAGAAAATCTCGTACATATATGAGAAACACAGTGTGAAAATAATCAATTGTGTCAATAGGTAATACGGAAATGCTGAATGATAGATTGAAAAAACTTTATAAAGCGCTAATCCACTGCCAATGAAATTCACAGTGCACACATGAAAAACGCGAATAATTTATACAATGTCCAATTATATAAACGAAGTAGCAAGAGCAAAATTCTCAACGTGATATTTTTGCCATTATTTGTTATCTGAGTTTAATATATCGATATCACTTGTTTAAAGACATGTAAATCTCGTAATCCAAAAGTGACGATATTTACCGCGATTGTATATACACATACAAAACTGTAGTTATATGTATACATGTATATGTATATGTATATGTATACATGTATATAGATAACCACATGCATTAATAATTATCAATTATTTGTTTTTATTGATTGCGGGCATTTGTCTTATTGATTACAGCTGAATTTACAGCGTTGGCATCTCTAAATAATTACATTATTCAATTTTATTATATATATAATTTTATTATTTTAATGATCCATTTAAATTTTAGATTCCTCCTTAAACTTCTCTTCCTTCGTTATAAGAGACATTTATTTTGATGTCCGAATTATATTTCCAGTGGGATTGATTAACAAAATATGAAAGTGCTTTACGGCACGTGACAAAGCGCAATTCCTCATTCTATTATTCTAATTACCTGTTAACACGCACATAGTAATTACACGGCAGACACTTACGGCAAGAATACTCACGCGCCAGCACTTCTTTACGACGCACTTCTACTCCAATGATAGCTTCCATGGGAACTTCGGTACGCGGAATACTAACTGCATGTGGCGGCAGGTAAATTGGTTCCAAGTTACCAAAGGTGCATTCTTGGGGAATATTCTTGTAACAATACGCGTGCGACTGAGAGACGAAATCAAATTTGTCATTAAATATCATTTTAACGGAGGGGAAGTGGGAGAGGGGGAACTTCAATCATGCTAACGATATATGCTTTCTTCCTCTATTCATAAGAGCCATTACGTATTACATTTGACTTGAAATCAATAAGTGTATAGCAATGCAATATAATATTTAATTCTAATTCTAATTCCGCTGACGAAACGAAATAAATGAATCAAACGCAAAAGAAACCAAGGTAAAGGCAATCTAATAATGAATCTTTCTTTTACCGTCATACCGCACCACTCGCAACGAAACCCGGCAAGACACTCGGCAGTAAAACAACTCTTCTTGCATACGGCACATTTCGAACTGCTCGGAAGATTGCCTTCCCGCCAATGATGAGTGTGTTTCACTGCTGACAGATCTTTCCCAGGTAGGTATGTGGCATTCTCCTTGCAGTCTGCCACCGCGAAGTCTTGGCATTCTACGTGCACGAAGTACTCGCATACTGGAGAAAACATACGGCACGATTAACATTTCGCAGAAACCCAAATACGCTAATTTGTATTAAAGTCTCAAATCTCTCATTTAGATAAAAGAAACTTCAGCTTACTTTCACAGTGTATGGCTAGATTATCATCCAATCGTTTTCGACAGACATTGCAGAATTTTCTTTTGCAATGTACTTGTTCAGACCAACAATGTGCAACCGGGTTCTGGAACACGGCCAATAAAGAAATGCTGTTAATTTTATACACATATATGTTAATTCAAAGTTCCAGAACGGCTTCTATGCGCTTTTTTGTTTTAAATCCTTAACTTGGATTCTAATCGAAATTTTTTACCTGTAATTGATATTTGTACATAAAAATTGCTCTTTTCAAAAATCTAGTTGATAATAAGATGAGATGTCTAAAGAAGAAAAATATAAATGTTGAAAATTGTAGTAAAAGAAATCTCCTTGTTTTTTTACCAACAAATATTCGATTAATAAAAGTAATAAATAATTTCATTTATCTTGAGTAAAATAAATCGTATTATGATTATTATAGATCACTCAAATAAATATATTTAGTCTTCTTAAAATAAGTTCAGTTTTCGGAAAGTGTCAAATGTCGCTTTGACACGTGAACGCAACAAACGAGGTTCCGACAGTCTTTTCTCTTAAGTCTCTCAGTCTCTTGTCTAAAATTTACTTATTTTATTGTAACGTTTAGTTATTTTACGATATCCATTAGAGAAGACTGCTTTCCTATATTCTAAGTATAGGCGTTATATTTATGCATAGGCGGTTAATCCTTGTAACGTGGAGACGTATCCGTTGTCTTACATTGATCAGGCTTGCCGCGATGCTGGAGCAGGGAGAGACGACGGCCTTGAGACAGCGGTCGTGCACCACGAAGTTGCAAACTGCAATGAGAAGAGAGAGAAAAATAGAGAATTTTAGAAACGTGCGAAATTAATTGCGTTAAGTCGAAGAGCGTTACCGGCTAAGCAGTGTACACTTTAGCATAAATCAATACGAGCCGCTCATGTCGTAATTTATAACAAGATCTTCTGACCTTTTGCGGTGTAAGTAAAAAAACATCGAGAATCATACAATGGCTGACGTTATTTAATGCTTCTATCTTTAAAAGAATCCTCAAGGGGATCCTAAAGTTGTCTGTTTTACCGATTATTTTTCAAATAAGTATTTTCCTAACTGCCTTCGTATATACAGATTTAAAAATCTTTCTCCACACAATTAAAGTATATAGCGATAATGTCCAAGCCGGTCGATTTTTTTTTGTCAATGAAAAAAAGTTGGAAAATTAGTTTTGTTATCAGCTTTTAACGTCAACACGCAACAATATTTGCTTTATATTTTATACAAGTTCTATGCTTTGTACGTATAAAACAATCTTGGTTTGGACTAGGTATTACATGAATAAACAAGATTGTGTTCTTAAAATTAGACTTGAATACCTAATATAAAAGATTAGTTAGAAAATTTCTACATAAGTGTGCGTACAATTTTGATGTAGTAGTGCGTAGTAGACATGTCAATAACACGTAAATCATACATGTGTAAGTCCTACTAAATCGGTAATACAGATGGTTTTAGAATCCCTTAACCAGACGACAAATATACAACCAGTGGTCCAACAAACTTATGCAGAAACCACAAAGGAAAACAAATATACACGCATATATTTATTTTCTTTTTAGTTTCACAAACACCCGCACATACACACACGCACGCGCACGCGCGCATATATATATACTATTGTATATATATATATATACACATACAGGGTGTTTCTTAAGTAAGGTTGGAGCATTGGAGGCGTAGAATAGATCAAGGGGAACAAAAAAGTCTTATACCATTTTGTAATTTTCGCAATAGTTAACAAGATATTAATTACTAAAAATGGCCGAATATTGGTTTTTGATAATTTTTTTCTCAAATACTATCAATTTTACAAAAAAACCTATAAGAGATAAAATTTGTTTGTCTTCTTCTCATAGAATTTTTTCAGAATTTTTTATCAATTTTTTAGTACTGCATTTTCTTATTTTTATTATCATGAAAAAATATGGTATTAAAAAATTCTGAAAAAATTCTCAGAACTTTATGAGAAGAAAATAAACAACTTTTTTGTCTCTTACAGTAAATGATTCCCTGTTCCCCTATTCTACGTTCCCAATCCGACTCTTAATTAAGAGACACCCTGTATACTCGTACAGAAAAAAAATCATCCATTTTATTAATCCTTGGAGCGTTCTTTTTGTCTAAATATTCTCTAGGAAAAAGTTATGTGCGCTTCCTTTCACTTCTAAAATAATACTCGATGTACCCCAGTAAAGCCGATACTACAAGCCTGTTAATGTTATCGATTACAAATTTAGAGTCGATATTGAGAACGCGGCATATTAAAAATTCAGTCTCAAGTTGTGTGTAAAAAGTGAAGAATTATTCGGCAATTTCTCGAGAATTGACATTCAATTCAGGATCGGCAGAGGTGACGATCGCAGTGTCTCAACCGCGTAGCCACTATCCACTCGATACAAGGTGACGGGTGTCGTACGGTCCCCCTCTCGTGGGAGCGGTAATGATCACATTCTATCGCACTCTTGCGACGCTAATCAGGCAAGATGTGGGAAATTTGTCGCATCGGCGCGCAGGTGCGGCCCGAAATAGTACTGTGCATCCGCTTCGTTAAGAAGGCGCCATCAGCCGCCATCGACGATCGACCGTCGTTCCACGAATGCCGAGTTAACTTTAACTCACCGAGTGGGCAGCTCAAATCGAAAAGAAGAGGTAATCGTCATCGCCATAGAGAAGAAGGATTCATCCGTTTACTTATGTCTTTTACCCGAACAAGCTTTTCGAGCGAATTGTAAGATATCACGCATTTCGCGAATTCGAAAAGCGCGGAGCGTTCGTTTAACGAACGTTCCAGGCATTTATTGCAACGCTTAAGGTCCACGCCGGACGTTTACAACGTTTAAGATCTGTTCTGAACATTTGCAACAGTTAAGATCATTACAATGCAGATATTTGCAATGATTAAAGTCTGTTTTAAGTATTTAAAACCTTTAAAGTTTATTTTAGGCGTTTGCTACGTTTGAAGTCCGTTGTAAGCAACATTTAAGGTCTTTATTCAAATTTCGATATTCCTTGGTGCACTTGCAGTTATACGTGACCGATCGCTTCCGCTATGCACGACTATCCGACTATACAAATCTATCCTAATAGACCTTTAATGTATGTACATATTCAGCTATAAATTTTGCCATGCTTATGTCATCTTTCATCGGCCAACACAAGCCGCCATTCAACTGCTCGAATACATAAACATGAGTGACAAAGTTGTACGAAAGAACAATTTTGCCAAAGTATGTAAAATTTTAGACAGATACAGATTTAAAAATAATTATTTTAATGATCCCAACGAAATTATTTTCAAATCTGTGTCTAAATTTGAATTGACATAAACAATGAGCAATGCTACAAAAAGTTTTGACATTCAATCAGTTGGAACGTCTTATACATATACAATAATTATTGTGATAGTTCAACAAAATTATTTTCAGATCTGTATATCTAACTAAAATTTTAGATACTTTAAAAACCGTTCTTTCCATGTGAAGCACTGACAAAAGATGAATAGACAAGATAGGAAAGAATTTTTTAGAGAAAAGAAAGGAAATTAATATTACATATACTGTGATTCAGGCAGAATCTTCCGAGACACTTTTCAAAAGATTCCTATTTAAGTTTCCAAATCTGGAATTTCTTCTTATTTCTTTAGCTGTATTTCTAGATACTCTTTTCCTTTCTCTTTAGGAAACAAACACGCTTTTACACTGTGTGTTTACAAACGTGAGAAACATAAGGAGGGAAAAGAAAAATCTTCCTCTCGCAAGTCTCTGTCGATGTCGGTCTTGTCTACATTCGATTCGAAAATCGTTAAAATCGTTAGATTGAAAGTAACAAATGCAGGCGCTACGTTAAATCGCATCTCTCTGGAAAAAAAAAAAAAAAAGGAAAAAGAAATCCCCTCACATTCTACTAATTCTTCGGTAATCATATAATAATCTCGAGTACGGCGGGTATCGGTTTTCAATATACAGTATATTAGATGATCACTTTAGGACTCTCTACATGCTTTTATTACTCGATTAGGAGTAGGTGGTCGTCCTATTTTTAACGATCCCGATCGATCAGTAGCAGCGCG